GCAAGTTATATTTATGTATTTAGGAATACACACACACTTAAATAACAGGGCAAAGACAGATCGTGAGTTTGAAAGCAAGTGAGTTGTAGATGGGAGGATTTGGGATAATAAATGGGAAGAGGGAAATAATTTATTGACATTATAATTTTAAAGATTAAAAAAGAAATGTCTTTACTTTCCAGAAGTCCAAAAGAAAGCAAACAATGTTTTGTCTCAATGTAAGTTGTCAAGAGAAATTTTGTCTTTATTTTCAGCAAAAAATGTTACCTGTAGCTTTCCATTGTGATGCCGTGGCCTGTTCTACCAGCCTTCTTTGTTGGTGATACATTAGGGGTACAGGCTGGGGAAGATGTTAAATGAGAAATAGTCCTTAGCTGCAGCATCAGTGTCATGGCTTTATTGAGAAACTGTCTGATTGAGTTACTGCTACCAGGTTCTGAAAAAAATACTGGTGTGTGTGTAGGAGCTGTGTATATGTGACATCAGCATTTTTTCAAGTAATGGTAAGAAAGACAAATTAATTATAAGACAAATTACTGTCGTATGTTGACAGGGTAGAACCTTTGAAGCAGAAATAAAGATGTCCTCAGCTTGTGAGTAACTAAGACCTTAAGGTTTCATATCTAAGATTCCATCTACTATTTAAGACTCAAGGCCAACCTTAAATTTGTCATACATATAACTCACTTTGCTTTGGATAATGAAAAAGACTCTTGGCATCCTGAAAACTGAGTAAGAAATACATGAAATGGAAGTCTCTTTAGCAGATAAAATTAGTGACAAACAAGGTTTACGGAACAGGGATGCCTATTTGAAACAAAAGAAAGTGAGATTGGTGAGAAACCTTAGTGGGTAAGAGACATGGTTGATAAGATTGATGACCCAAGTTGTATCTCAAGGATTTAGATGATGGAGAGAAAAGACTCCAGCAAGTTTCCTCTAATGTCCAAGGACATGTGGTGGTACACACACAGGCGAGGGGGAAGAGAGAAGACATTCATTGAAGCTGCTATATAATGTGTAAAGGCATTTGGAAGCCTGCTCTCCCATAATGGAAGGTACTACTGCCATGCATTCACTAAGAATTATAGCTTCATCTTCCCACTTGTTATAATTTCTGAGCCTGAAGGCAGTAACTCTATTTTGTCATACAGATAACTGAAGAGCTGTGAGTAATTTTGCCATCACATAGTAATTGGGAAAAAAATCCAAACGCTGATACGTTTTACAGTGACTAGCATGGTTGAACTCACCAACATTTTTTTTTCTTTGTTCATATCGGATTGTTTCCTTTGGAGCATCCTTACTTACTGTTGGGTACCCCACTCTCACCCTTATTTCTGTCTCTCTACATGTTTCTCTGTGCAAGAATATTTTAATTTCATCTCCCAACACATCATCCTTCATGCTAGCCACTTCTTCCCTGGCTGCACAAAGAATTAGTGCTTAGGATTCCCATGTCATCCCTAAAGGCTCACACTTCAAGTTCCATTTCACCAGAATCAACCACAAAGGTAGTCTTGACTTTTGTTTTGTAAAGCGAATGTCCAATTGTAACTACTTAGCCGAACAGAGAAAAGGAAGATTCCAAAATTTTGCCACACCTACAATTTAAAAGAACAGTTTGTGACCCCCTGACCCTCAGTTCGAAGGATTTCCTTGTATAATTAGAAGAATACTTGGCATTAATGAGGGGCCAGTCTTTGTTTAGCTGTAGCAATTAGTCACCTGTGGACGTTGACTTTGGGTCAACAACTGTGACTCTACTGCCAACATACCAGTGAAGATAGAATGAGTCTCTGGAAAACAGGCTGACCTGGATTCTGTAGGACCCCACAGACTCACAACTGTCCTTATTTGTAAATTTCTTTTTTAAAATGTTGGAAAAATATTAATTTTATTACATTTTACCCCTGACTCTCAATATAAAAGCATGGGCATTAAAACAAGTATTTCTTCTCATATCATGAGACGCCCCTCTGTGACATCCTAAGGACATAGCCATGTAGGGGAGAACCAATACCAGTGTGTCTCATCTCATTTAGGGACAAATCTATTATATTTAAGATACTGGCCCCATCTACTTCTTAAAATATCTTGCATGGGCGTGTTCATGGGTGTTTATGAGTACAGTCATAAATATGCAGAGACCAGAAGGAATCTTGGATGTCAGTCCCCACTTTCTGCCATGTTTGAGACACTGTCTCTTCACTCATTTCTGCCAACAACAGTCAGCCTACCTACCTGAGAGCATCTGGTGTTTCTCTGCCTCCCATCTCACTGAAGCAGTTCTCAGATGATGGGCAATACCGCCATGCTCCATCCTATGTGGATTCGGGCATCCTAACCTACAATCACTGGTATTTGTATTGTACTTTTATGGTTCATCTACCTTTGTTCCTTGTTTTAATAATTTGTCATTTCACTAGGACCTTAAGAAAATATTTACCTTACTAGACTCTTTTTCCATTAGAATAATAATGTTAGCTTAAGTATGATTTTGCTTCCAGTTATATTCCTAATCTCTGTTGGCTATGCATACAGTTCGAACAAATCATTCACTGAAACAGAAGAACTAACAGGAAATAAAATATAGCCTTTCTTCCTTTATCTGCACATACAATACGCTGGACATGATTTTGTCTTTTGGAAAACTGAAAAGCCGAGACAAAAGAGAACTGGGAATATTAGAAGGTAGTGAGCCTGAGAGAAGGCATAACTCGTCCCTCAGAGGGAAGGGCGGGGATGACAGGTGTTACAGACACCATTCTCACTTCATCATCCATTTATTCCTGCGTGCATATTGAGAGGCATAAAGGACCTATTGAACATAACCCAACTGAGAGACAGAAAAGACCTATCGAACATAACGCAACTACGATACATTCAGACCACAGCATCCAGGTAATACTGGGGAAGACTATGCCATGCCTGGGAGAGTGGTAATGAAATAGCATTTCAGTTTTTGAGGAGAAATTACTCTGAAATATGGGAGATGGACAACGATGGCTTGTTCGAAAGAAAGAGACAATGATCTGTGGAGGGGGCTCCACAGTTGAGAGCGCTCGCTGCTCTTGCAGAAGACCCGGGTTTGATTCCCAGCACTCCAGTGGCTATGCAGAACTTTTCACAACTCCCTTAACAGGGGATGTGATGCCCTCTTCTGGCTGCCTTAGGCACCAGACACAAGTGTGGGGTCAAGCGTGCAAGGAAAACACTCATGCACATGAGATTGAAAACCAACAAATCCTTAAAGGAGAGTGGGAGGCAAAGGAAATATGACTATGACTAATCACTTTTCAAAGTCTTAGTACTTACACTTAGGCACTACAAACACACTTACACAGAAAATATCTTACGCTGGGAAAGGAAAAAGACTGAGCACTCATAATGTCAAAAACAGGGGTTGGGTTTCTTTCTTTCCTGCATGAGCATGCGGGACATTTATCCTGCCTCTAGGAGTTTCAAAACAGAAGCTTGTATGTAACCATTTAGTATTATAAGGGCAGGGTTACAAATTCTGCATGCTTCTCTAAACAGAAAATTCTGGTAGCCACTGACAGCAGCCAGACTGATGAGATTTAATTATATATTTTACTCTAGCTTAAAATCTGTAAAACAAACAAAAGGACGAACAAAAAAAACCAACCCCTCCAAATATGAAACAGTACTATTATTCCCTAAAACAGTCATTAGTAAACAACACTAAATAATGAAAAAATATTACATCATATATATATGTGTGTGTGTGTGTGTGTACAAACACAAGTCACATGTACAAAACTTTTTGACCTTTATTGTAGCAATTTACTATCTTGCCAGAGCTGGTCCAGATCCTAGGAGACTCATAGACATGCAAATTTTAACCACCATTGACCATGTGTAGGTACTATTTACGGAACTGGAGACACAGACACTTTGGAAATGTAGCTAAATGATATCGGTGGGACCCTACATTGCTAGAGAGAAAGAGAGAAACCACAAGTAGTAATCTGCCTATGCTGATCACTGTAGCACAGATGATGCTCAGAGCCCCGGGAGGCAAATGAAGGACCTGGACCAGCTCACATTGCCCAGGAAGTGAAAGGGGCAAGAATTAAGACGATAACCTCCAGACAGGAAGTTGCACCACACACATTCTGTGACTTCCCATGGTTCCTGTGTGTCATCCATTGATAGACTGACAATGGGTCATCATCATAGATGATCTTGAAAACTCAGTTTTGGGGGACTGTAGACCAATCCTCTACTAGAAGGTTCTGATGATTTGCTACATGTGAGAAATGTTTCTAGAGAGTTGAGTTCTTTAAATAGTGTCAGTTTTAAAATTGAGCGACTGCTGGGGATCTGGACATAGCTTTAGTTAAGCTACTAGAAAGTAATCTCTCAGATACAGAAATAGTGCATATGACCTTAGTCAAAAGACCTAAGGGGCCACAGAAAGCGAGACCTACAGTGTGTACTCAGCCAACATTTCTTTTGAGACTGCTACCTGCAGGTCGGGGACCGCCTTCATCTTTTCTATGACCTGGACCCAACAAGACTGTCACTGGGCCTCGGAAACAGTAGATGCATTCATAATAATAATGTCTGGCATAATATCTGTAAGAGATTTACATTTGGAAGCAAAAAACTATAAGAATAAATTCCCTTTCTTTTTGTGGGACCTGCATTATCAGAGAGATGCACGGGTTCCTGGAAGCATAGCAAAATAAACACCCAGCTCAAGCCACAGAGAATCTTACCCACTCAATTTGGAAACTGTGTCCCCCCCCCACACACACACCTACAATATCTATTCCTCTTGCCCTCCTCTCTCTTCTCTCTCTAACTCCCCTCTCCTTCCTTCCTTTTATCTTTCGACTTTCGGTTCTGAAAGTGATTTGTTGGAAGGGCTGAGTTCAAAGAAAAGAAGCAAAAGAATTTAAACATTCAACAGACTGTCATCTAGGTTCTGTTGGTCTGTCAAGTGGCTGATCTTTCTTTCTGTTTAATTGCAGGTTATATTTAAAGGGTCACACGGGAACGGCAGGCAAACAGAGCAGCCTGATCCTTCACGGTGCTGATTTCAGCACGAAGGATGCTGACAACGACAACTGTATGTGTAAATGTGCCCTCATGCTCACAGGAGGTAAGTCCCAGGGGCCTTTCCCTGAGCTGGCTTTTGTTGGTTTGAAGTTTGGGGTTTCTTATCTCTAAGAAAAGGGTTTGATCTCCTGGTCAGGAAACTGAAGAGCAGGTCCCTAGAGATCATTTAGCTCTGTGCAGGAGTTTACTCTGTTCTTGTACAGGACATTGCTGGCATACTTAAAAGCTTGTCTCCCCCTTCATCTGTGATGGGAATGTCCTAGGTTTCATACTGAGTCAATTCTCAGGCTACCTGAAGTACTAGGTACTCTAGTTTAAAATAATGTCTAGGTTGCTGTAGGTGGTATAAAGAATATCACAGCTTTACTACTCATTCAATGGACAATTTTCTGGATAGATATCACTTACCAAAATTAAATCAAGAACAGATGAGCAATTTATCCTATAACCCCTAATGAAATAGAAGTATATTCTCCATTTGCATTTTGACAGACACAGTTTTGGAGTAAATACATACAGTCCTTGAACCAACCAAGAGTAAGATTCTTCAAATGTGTTCTTGGAAGAGCATCCTCTGTGTCCAGTATAATGAAAAGAGGGGAATTAATTTCTTGGTTGTTGAGAAATCTCCACTGCTCAGAGTTATTTCTGCCTCACGTCACTGAACTCTGACCGAATCTTTCATCCATAGTTCCTCTTGGACTTGCTTCTCACTGACTAATAAACACATATGTTGGGAAGAGAAAAATCTCCACTTATTGCTTGGGCTAGAATAGTCCATGTGAATGTGTTTTTGTAATAAACACCACTACCCTATCAAATATCCTTTCCAAAGAATCCAGGCCTTGCAAAGCCATTCACACTGAAAAACTAAACTGTGGGATTCAGGAGAGCTGAGACCTGGAAATGACAGGCATGAACATCAACTGCTCTCCAAGTCACTGGTGCATGGCCTGGACTACATGTCCTACAGTGCTACTACCCACTACTGTCTGTTCTTCATCACATTTTCCCTTAGAAATTACACCATTTCATTCTCTGATGGCTTTTCCTTTCCTTTTGTTTAAAAATCGTGTTTGGGCTCACTCCTGCTTGATAGTGTCTCTTGTAAGCAAAGACAGGGTTCACAATTTGCAAGTAAGACCTTGTGGGGTTTGTCATCTGCTAAAGACTTTCAAGGTCGAAGTATGATGTCATGCTCACTAATTGTCCTAGAGCATTTTATTTAAGGGCATGGGAGGGTTTGAGTCGAAGGCTGTAGTGTCATTGTCACCTTCATTTGGAAACCAGGAGATGAACTTATCTGAAAGCAGACAGTATTGCAGAGAGATACAGAATAAAACATCTCGAGCACTTTCCTTCTCTCCCAATATCCTTAGGTCTTTCTACCCATTTACCCTATATTTAATGCCAATAGGTTAAGAAAGGGAACTGATACTAGATAAATGAACTGAGGAGAGTAGAGCTCATCTCAGTAAAACAAAGAGGTTGTCAGAAAAAAATACGCACAATAAAAAACGAGGTGATTTTGAACCACAATAGTTTTGTTGACAAAAGCATGAAACACCATAGAACTGTAAGAAGCAAGGAAGAAACTTCAGATGTGGACATTTGCAAGAAATGAAGAGAAGGCTTTGAGTTTACAGAATCTAGTTATGATCTTTCCCGTAGTTTGGGTATGGTGAAAACAGCCTTTGTTTCTGTTCTTCCAAGTTGTCACTGTAGTGCATACAAGGAAAAACAAATGCCACACAGAGGTGATAATTTGTATGCTCAACATTGTTGAGTTCAACGGGTGCACACCGTGGGCACACTTTGTTCATTGGCACGTGCCAATGGCTTACAGCATCCCACAAGTATACAGACTTATTCCCATGTTACCAGGAAATGAGTAATTCTTCCAACAAGTTCTAATACTAAATAATTTTATGTTTCATTAGAAATTTTTATTGCACCAGAGCATGCATTTCAATATTGCCACAATTTTCTATGGAAATGGCGGCTCAAGTCAGCAGGAAATACAATGCTTTATGGCCAGGGACTTTTAAGTCAGATGTATTGGTGCTGTGTGATTGCCATTGACCTTAAGAGACATTCTGTTTTGCCATAGGTTCCTCACTATGTAACAGACAGTACTTCGAAACTCAGTCCCTAGTAGATGGGAGACACTGATGAAGTGATAGGAAACACCTCATTAGCCCATTAGTAGACTTCTCTGTGCATGCTTCAACCCAAAGAGAGTGATCAGTTTCATTAAATTTGATCAGCTTTGACTACGACTTAACATTAAGACAAAACCAATGCGATATCATTCCATGCATGCTTTAGTTTGTCTATATTTATTGTGCTTAAAATAGCTGTGCAAAATATTCTTCTGAATCCAAAACTAGGAAAACAAAGAATGCCTACTATTAGACTGTCACTTTCAAAGTTAATTTATCTTCACCTAGAGTATAGTCCTTGGTACTAAATCTTCCAAATACACAGTTCTAAAAGTCACTGTCACCTCACTAAGATTTAGTTATACAATCAATCTAATCAAATAATTATATAAACAATTTTGTCTAAGAGTGAGCAATACAATGCAATTATTAGAAGTTGCTAACAACAGAAGACAAGTAGCCTGGTTTTATTTTACTTCCCTTTCCTTATTTAAGTTTTGCTGCAATGTGATTTCCATATTTAGTACATAATATAAAAACTATGTAAAAATGTGACCTAACCTTCGTCAGAAGGAATCCGTGGCGGTAGAAACTCTGCTCTCTTTTCCCACGCATAAACCATGTCAGCTGACAGGCAGGGCTTTCTAAAGCTAACAAGGGATATTTTTCCGATCCATCCTAAAAGAGCGGATGAGGCCATGCACATAAATTCTTCCGTATGTCCTAGGACTTACCAGATGCTCGCAGCAGAACTGATAAATGCTTTCTCTGCTTGTGTTCTATCTAACCTTGACAAAGACTAATGAAAAAACGCTAGCTGCTTCTTCAAGTGGTGAATGACGTGAAAGTGACAGGATCCTTGGGAAAATGTAGTCAAGATAGCATTTTTAGTAATTCAGGAAGGGCCGGGCAGAGCTTTACGAGATGAGTGGCAATCCTCACATCGCATGTTTAAGTGTTAGGAGTAAGATCCACAGGGATAATCTGAGGCTGAGCGAACAAAGTCTACCCTGGATTGTTTTTACATCAACTCGCTTTTGAAATTTAGTGTTGTATGTCCAGTCCACAAAAAGCATGTGTCCTTTGCATTCTAACTGTGTGCTACCTACCGCTCTGTCTCCAGACCCTGTTAGAGTATTGCACACAACACCACGGGCTTCAACGACTGTGCTATCTGAGATGTGAGAGGACACTCAGACGCCAATGATACACAAATGACCCCTGTGTAAAGGCATAGAACTAATAAAGTGTGACTGCTCCTCTTGCCTAGAGTTACATGTAGAGCATGTGATTACATGTAAGAATTTGCAAAGACAAACATGGAATAAAAAGGTAACTAAATAATCAAGAATTGGTACCAACCTCTGAGAATCATGAAACCCAAGAATGACCTCCAGAATTGTAAATCTTTTACTTTCAAATAAAGTTGATCTTCCCAAATTCAATGTTTAGAACTGAATTTCTATTTCCCCAGTATGAAGTATCTTTGTTTCAAAAATAACAAACAGAATCATTCACAGGTTTGGAGGAGAATAAATCAGGATAATAATGTAAGCATTTTGCACATGGCATAATTATATCGATGGTAAAATGCTAAAACCACAGGCTAGTAGCTGGTTCCATGTGAGAGATAACCAAACACATAGTTTGACTGGCATTGCAAATACTTACCCAGTCTTGACTGTATCAATGACTTTCTGCATTAGCCTAAATGATCTGTATTTCATAATTCAGACGCAGCTTACCAAACCATTTAGGTCAGGGAAAATATGGACCTTACTGATTCCTTTCACAAGATCTGAGATACAGAAAAGTTAGATCGCTTACCATTTCCCTGTGTTCACAGAACTCGTGTGTCACAAGTCTTAGCTACACAAGCACTTATCCCCAAGGTCATCACCCTATTGTTCTACTACCTCTGTTGGGCAGAAAGGCATTCCAAGAGAATGAAGGGGGTGTATTTAAATGCCGGAAATCTATTTTCACAAGCATTTCCTCACTCACCATGCTTGAAGGTGAACTAAAGTCCATAGGAGGGGAAAGACAGTAAAAGTACACATGCAAGATTTAAATAAATTCACTATTACTGGCCAGAGTAAACAACTTTTCATCTTTGGAACAAGAAGGAAAAGAAACACACACACACACATACACACTTGGGCTGATGGAACATATTAAGACATGAGAGAAGGAAGACAGACCTATGAAAGGTCTCTTTGCCTGCCATACACAAAGTCAAGCAACTGTCCCTGGCCATGCGGAGGGTGAGGTGAATGACAAAGTCAGCAAGTGACTTCTGCATTATGAGCGTGGTGCTGGAATAGCACCCAGCACTTCAAGCCAGCCTCACCCCATCCTCACTGATGAAGAGAAAAGCCTTTCTTTCTGTGACAGCTCTCCCAAATATGTACGACTAGATTGTGTGCATTAACATGAGTGGGAAAAAAAATCCACAGATATATCTTTTCACTTCCCTGTATGTTTCACCTTTTAAAAAAAAGGAGTGCTGAGAGACATTTCGTTTAGGATCAGAGGACTGTGAGAGTTGGGTTTCCTGACATTCAAATAAATTTGAACTTCCTGAGTAGAAAGCTGAGAATCTAATTCTGATTTTCTGGGCAGTGTTTCATTTATTAGTGATAAAATGTGAATTTTCTGCTTCAAAGATAAAAGGCTCGAATAGTTTTAAAGTCCTGGGAAGCCTGAGATAGTTATTGCAAAACTAACTTTTAATGAGTTAAGTGTAAATGAATTAGAAACATGCGTCTCGGATTTCTTATTAAAATATACACGAGGTTACAGGTTATAATGAAAAATACTTGGCCCGGCCTATGTGAAGAGTTGCCAGCCATCAAACACTTGAGGCATTCGATCAGTTCCT